GTGGTATGATGAGCTACTCATTAGAAAAGGTAAACTGGTTGTAGGTAACAATAACACATTGAAGAAAAGCATTTTGGAATTCTTTCATGATTCAACCTTAGGGGGACACTCGGGATGGCCACCACTTATAAGAAATTAGGCGGTATTTTATACTAGAAGGGTTAGTAGCGTAATTTCAAGTAATATATCAAGGAATGCCCCACTTATCAAACTTATAAACGAGAGTTAATGATAACTCCTGGGTCATTATAGTTGTTACCCATATCACAATGAGTGTTCATTGATATCTCCATGGACTTTATTGAGGGACTTCTTAAGTCTAAAGGAAAGAAAGCCATCTTTGTAGTTATGGATCCCTTTATCAAAATATGCTCACTTGATGAGCCTTTCCCATCCTTACACTATCCAAGCAATAGCTTAATTGTGCCTTGATGTAGTGCTAATAGCGACCATCATAGGTGACAAAGACATAATGTTTTTGAACAACTTCCAAAAATAATTACTTGCCCTATAAAGAGTTGGCTTGCATTATTCTATAGCTTGCCACCCCTAATCCGATGGCCAAACCAAAATTATGAATTCGTTGCCTCGAGAATTACCTTTGGTGTATGACAAGGGATACACCTAATGAATGGTCTAAAAGGCTACCTCTTGTCGAATGGTGGTATAACACAAACTTCCACTCTCCCACCAAGCAAACACTTTTGAAGCATTTCATGGGTTTTAACCCAAAATCCATCTACCATACACTCCTCGGGATTCCTTAGTAAAAACGGTAGACAAGTACCTCGATAAGAGAGAAACTATGTTAAACCAACTCAAGTAAAATCTTTTACGAAGCATAAAATTGTATATGTTAATTGACAATCGAAATAAATTGAATGCCATTTTACAATTAGCGACTAGGTTTACTCGAAGTTTCAACCCTACAAGTAACACCTTAGTGACAAGCATAAATTTCATAAAATTTATGCACATTACTATGGTCCTTTTTTGATTGAGGATAGAATTAGGATGATAGCTTATCGTTTGAAGCTTCCCGCATCAACTTCAATCCATCCTTAACTTTTTTAACTCGTTAAGAAATCGAGACCATCCGATCGGGACAAGCTGTTTGAATGTCAAGCTGATCATTGGTGCTTTGGCTAACAATTTGACCAATCATCGATAATTATTAAAAAAAAAAAAAACAAAAGACCATGTTCTTTGACAATAGCTCCAAGATAGCATGGTTTTTACTTGTTGACTTATGGATGGAATTTAATTCAAATTGGATATGAAGTTGATGTAATTAAATAGATCTAGTAAATATTTTTTTTAATTTGAGTTTAATTATGATTTGAATTCATTAATTAATTTATTAAATAGACTAAATGCGTATCTATTTTGATTTGATCCAATAATAATCCGATTCGAAATTAAATATAATATTTTAAAAATATTAAGAATTTAAATATGAGACTAAGTTGAAATTTAGAGTTTATTTATTATAAAGTTCAATTAGTGCATATCATTCTATAATAACAACTTTATTTTCAAATCACACATAAATTTCTTGTCATTTTTTTTAATTTAATTTCATAAATAAAAGAAGAAGACTTATGTATCTATTTAAGAGTTGATATTATTATATTTATCATCACCCTATTATTTATTTCTTTTAGTTTTATCATACTTTCTTCCTAATTCAAGGTAAATTTTAATTAAGTTTATTTGATTTTATGCTTTTAAATTATACGTCATTTTGCATTTTTTTATAAAATTAATTGATGTAATATTATGTTAACATATTTTATTATACATATAGTGGTTGAAGTATATTTTATATTTAAGCAATATATTAAATGTAATAAGTATAATTTTTTTTATACTAAAATCAAGTGATAAATCCGTTGGAATTTCAAATCCAATCCGAATTCATTAGGATTTGAACACTGAATTTACATTTTAAAAACTTGATTCAAATTTATATGATTTGATATATTTCATTTAAAAGTTGATTCGGATTTATTATAATCAAATCCAAATATGACCCATTAATAACCCTAAGTATCACGATCGGTTGTACAATATTCTATATTGTTCATATTGTTCAAATAACGATGTTTTGGGTTATTTTGACATGAAGCACCATCTTTCCTTAAACATTGTAAGAGATTTTTTGAAAATATATATTTGATTTAGTCCTTGGAGTTTAAAGTTTCTATGGATTGATTCTTGAAATTAATTTGTCTTCACTTTTAATCACTGATTCTACTTCTAGAGGGAGAGAGGAGATATGAGGACAAAAAAGGGCGAGAGTGATGTCGGCAATAGCTTTTTTGAAAACTATTTAGGTAAAAAAAAAAAAAAAGTCAAAAAATTGTACGAATGAGTTCAATCTATTAGTGTCTATAAAATACTCTTTTATTAAATGAAAATAGAGGTTTAAATGGGGATATATTTTTGTTTTAAAATTTTATATTCAAATTAAGACCATTTAAAGTGGATTGGGATGGGTTTTTGGAGTTGGAAATGGGTTTATACATACTCTTAGGATGACTTTGAGATATATATTGTTTTAATTGAAATGGTAGGAAAACAAGATTTTGGATACGCATGAACATCGATTGGTAATTTTTTTGGAACGAAGAGTCATAAAAAAACACACAAAAGCGACTAATCGTTCCAAGTTGACGATGCATCATTTAAAAAAAAAAAAAAGAATTATACGAACGATGTGTCGTGGTTTCTTTTACAACAACATCAATAATAATAAACACATGGGCTGAATCTGTTCTGGCCTGGAGGCTCCAAGCCCGATTTCTTTTCAATATTTTTAGTTTTTAATTATTTTTTATAGAAAATTTTTAAATTTGTTAGATTTTGCAATCAATTCCTATATTTTCTTTTATACAAACTTATTGTACTGTTTTTGATGTATTCTCAATGATGCACATCCTTAAAATGATGCTAATAGTTTACACGCATTCAGATATATTATTAAATATGCATATAATGGTTGTTTTTTGGACTCAAAAGTGCCAAAAACACAAAAAATAACACAATGATCAAAATAATTGAGACCTCGTGATAAAAATTATTTTTTTATTCAAACTTATCAATTTTCCACTTATGGTTTTAAAATACTTGAATAATTTTTTTCTTGAAAGTTAAATATAGGCTAAAATTTAGTTTTGGTGATGACATTTTCTTCCCCATAGATAAGCTAAATTTACAATAATTTCTTAACAGTGAATTATTCTTTAATTATTTGTCAATTCAATATGCATAGTTTAAAATTTATTTAGTTCTTATTAAAAATCAATTTAATATTTATAATTCAAAAATTTTATTAATATTGAAAAGACAAGTGGAATAGATAAAATATTATTATTTATAAGCTATTATTAGCATAAACATCGTTATTTGATATTTTGCGAAACAATTAACCCACTCAAATTTATAGGTTGTGAAAAAAAAAATAAAATAAAGAAGAAGTTTCGCTCTCCTATAATACATGTCACAGTTTTGTAAATAACTGTTGATGGTATAGATTTAATGATTTTTGAACTTATGCCCTGAATAAAAAAAAAATCCGTTCTCATCTAATTTTTGAATTTAACCCAGCCGATACGCATGTTCTGTTTTTTTCTTGGAACATAATCAATATATATTTTTTAATTTAGTTTAATTTTAATTAAAATTAGTAGAATATAAATACATGATTTGTGTGTAGACCACAGGTCTATTTGATAGAGGCCTTCTATATTAAGGGGGTATGGTGTACACAACTGTCAGGCTCAAACTACTCCCCTTGTCCCGAATTCTGAAGAAATATACTGCCGCCCTTTCCTTTTCAAAGTACGAATCCACACTACTACTTAGTGGTAAGGAAAACTGGTTCTGCTATTTACTGTTGTGGGATGATGATGATATAGCAGCAGCAGCTTCGGAACAAGAGCAACATTTTCCTTGCTTTCTCATGGAAACTAGCTTTCCCTTCCTTCATGTTTGTTAAGCTTCTGTCAAAATCTTCCTTATGAAATGATTCAGGCAAATCATTGATGCCCATCCATTTATTCTCCTATATTTAATTTACAACCCCATACTCTCCGAAAACAGAGATTGTTACAATAACAATAAATAAAAATAAAAATAGCATGCTACTTATCATGGATGGAAGTAGCGACGAAGGAAAAAAACAAAATGAGGACAGCTTGCTAGATATTCACTTGCCTCATATGAGGCTTGTTCCGGCGTGCTGCCATGTATGATAATTGCGTCTAGCTGTTCATTTAGGCGGCGGTCTGGTCAGATGAGGAGGGGTTTTGTTTTTTAGTAAGGAAAAAAAAACCAATAATTCGCAGTGCCAAAAGTTCATGGTAATCAAATTTGATAATCAAAGAAAAACTGTTCTTCACCGTGCAGTGAAATGATGTGAATTAGAGTTTCTATTTTCAGTAACCAAGCCAAGACTCTGAAAAATATCCTTCTAGGTCATATCATAGTTAATACAAGCCGGAAAAAGGACGAAAAGAAAAAGAAATATATATATATATATATGCGAGTATGAGAATGTAGAGATGGAGAAAAAGAAAGTGTGTATGAGCATGCTTTCGAAAAAGCATAAAGCAGAACAAAATGGGGATGCATTAATCTGGAAAAGAGGGAAAAAGAGGCAAACATCCACATGGCTATACAAAAAAAATAAAGGCCACAAAACCCATTACTTCAAACTGACAAACATTAATCCTGCTATCTGTTTTCACCTTTGTGAAACAAATTCAAGCCCTAGTTACTTCCTTTCTCATCCCCAGATATGCTTACTCCCTTGCCAAACTGTAACAACTGACCCACATTTGCCATTTTTATCCTTTCTTTTTCTTCAACAAAATTGGTCCACCACAAAACCCCATTTCTACTATTGAGAGAAATGAAAATGTAGAAAGAATCCACCTCCAAAAAAAAAAAAAAAAACAGAGAGAGTTCACCTCATCTTTAAGATCCATCTCTTTCTCTTAATAATCTGCACAAAATAACATACTCCAACCATGTCAGCAGTAAAAGAACAAAAGAGATTGTAACCAATGAAATGCAGAGTATTATTATTATCCAATCTTATCATATTCTACAAATTGCAAAAAAGCATACCATCGTGTTTCTTCATCAAACCTCTTGCAAACAACAAGCAAATGACCACGAACCCCACACCAGCTGCCCCTCCTACTATAATGGCCACCGTCTTCCCTGGACTTTGCCCTGTCCCTACATCCATCAAATCCATTCCAAATCGACATCTTTATTATATATACATTTCCCAGGCCAATTAAAGTTAAACCACTTGAAAAGACACTGGACATTCTTCACACAAGATAATTATATACTAATTCCAATTGATAGAGACCAAATAAACTATTAAAGGATTTACTTTTTTTTTCAGGCAAATAGAATCAAATATGAATGAAAAAAAGAAAAAAGAAGATATATCAACAACCATAACCATAACCATATACTAATTCCACTACACAAAGAGATCTCTACTAATCTTTTTTTTTAAAAAAAAAAAAATCCTCCTTTTACTGGGAAGTAGAAATATTGAGGAAAAAAAAATCAACCAGCCTAACCATATAGTAATAATAACAATAGACAGAGATTCACTAATCTATTTAAAAAAAAAAAAAAAAAGCCTTTTCTCTCAACACCAGATTTAGATTTCCTAAAGAGTCCCTTCTAGGAGTACTCTACCTGACGAAAAAGAATTGGAAGATGAAGAAGATGATGACGATCTCCTGGGCACTCCATTTGGGTAATAAGTGTAACTAATAAAGCATTTATGGAGGTAGATTTGGCCTGAAATAGCGTTCCCACATTCAACCTGAGCTCGCTGGATAGCAGTTTTCACACAATCACCACAATCTGAATCTCCAACATCGCCCTCACACTGCCCCAAAAGGTACATAGATTGATAGTTGGTAGCATAGAAGCCATGGCCACTAACCACACCATTTTGCATCACTGAAAAGCCAGTATCTCTTCTCTCTTCGAACCCACTTCCTGCCGCATTTGTAGCCCCACAAGTCTTGTACAGCATTTCCATACCTGAAATTTGCGCAAAGCCAGCAACTTCATACAAAATGTAGCATCCATAAAGCTGGATTCTTGCAGCTATTGTTTTGCCACAAAGTTTGTCTACTAAAGTTGGCAGTTTGCTGACACAGTTGTAGCAGTCAGTATTACTAAGGTCTCCTCTACATTGAAAGAGACCAGTTATTGTGGATTGGCCAGTCCCAGTGGTGGTTTTAAAGAACTTAGTTTTGGTGGACTGAGAGACTAAAGAACCAAAAAGAGCAGAGATAGCTTGTGAATAGACACCATTTGGATCTTGAAAAGCTTGCTTTGCACAGCCCTTGTAGACCAAGGTGCTGTAATCAAGGGCAGACTGAGAGAGATTTACAAAGAGAAAGAAAGAGAGAAGGAGGAAACAAGAGAAGGGTTTTGAGGGAAAACCCATTTGGGAAATGGCAGAAATGGATCAAACCATGACAGGTTTTGGAAAGATTTGATAAATGGGTTTTGGTTGAAACAGAAGAGAAGATAGAAATTGAAGGAAGGGGTTGGGTTTTGGGTGTGCTTCGAATTGCTCAAAAAGAGCTTGTCTTTTGGGTTTTGGTTTTCTGGTGTTCGGGATTTACTTTACCTTTTCCTCTGTATATGTGCAGTGCAGAGTCTGAGGGCTGGAAGGGTATCTTTCTTGCTTGCTCTCTCTCTCTCTCTCTCTCTCTCTGTCTCCACTAGCAGTACACTGTCCGATAGATAATAGAGAAGTGAAAAAAATGGAAAAATACTATACTATACTTACTCTACAATTTCCTTTAGAACGGTGAACAGTAAGTATCAATATTTATGTATTTTTTTTAGTATTTGGAGAGAATGAGAACAAAATTGGTTGAAAATAAAATAGTTTTTATTGAAAGGTGCAAGAAGAAAATATTCTCTCTCTGAGAGGTGCGGAGGGTATGAATGTCAAGGAATCTGTTTGTGGGAGGAAATGGCAGGAAGTTTGACTGAAGAATATCACACTTGAGGTTTGAATTTTGAATGGAGCAATGGAGAGGGTTTTCTTGAAACTCGTTTAATTTTCATGCACGGATCATGAGGATTGAATTGAAGTCCAAGCGACGGAGCCTAGCAAGAATTTTATAACTTGAAGGAAAGACAGGTGACCAAATCTTGGGTCATTTATAGCTGCCATATTATAATTAATTAGCAATAAATAAAGCTGCAGAATAAGCAAAAGTACTAGATTGCTTCATCATGAAAGTATCGATACCTTTGACCATGATAAAAGAGCATTGCTGTTTAATGTTTTTGATCTTCTTAATCTCTATATTCTTTTGTTTATTCTAGTAAATGAACCAATATCCAGAAGACATTTTTAGCATCATGGAGCACTGTGATTAGTTCAATTTTAACTAGTCCTATTAAATGTGAATAAGATGCATGTGACTTGTTATCCTTCCTTCCTCTTTTTTTTTTTTTTTTTAAACTCTTATGTTCTTATTTATGTTCATGTTAATTGGACACAACCCCCCCCCCCCCAAAAAATTTACGGTAGAAGAATTTAAATAATAATCCAAATTTATAGCTATACATAAAAATTTCCCATCGGCGATCCTTAACATTCAAGAAGTTAGTCGGACTTAAAAAAGTAAAGCACATACAATAAATAAATAGATTAACTATTACTTTATAGTAATTGAAGTCCTATAAATTAAAGTTTATTGTCCCTAAACTAGAAGAGCAAGAATTAGCATTGTAATCATCGAGTTGGATCTCTTTCACACGCTTGTAGGATTGATTTTCACATCAATAATAATAATCATCTTTAGAATCCTTATACTTGATGAGTTCATGTATTACATTCTAGTCGAAGTTGATTGTTTGTAATTTGCACCCAAGTTATTAGCTAGTTGTTAACTTTCATGGTTGAATGAGCGAGTTGAGAGAGAAAGAGAGAATGAAGAAAATGGAAGAGAGAAGAAATTTTGGTAAAACTTATTGCTATTGTATATTCACATGTTTATTGCATATACCAAATAGTGTTTATACTAAGCTTAACTATCTCTATAACTAACTTAACTAATATACGCATGTGGGGTGTGTGTATGTGTGTTATCCCCTCAAAATAAGTATGGATATTATTCATGCTCATCTTGCTAATCAAACCATGGAAGATTCCGAGTTGTAAAGCCTTAATAAAGATATTAGCAATTTGTTGACCAATAGGTAGGAAATGAGATTGAATAACACTAAAAATCACTTTCTCATGGATGAAGTGACAATTCAAAGTAAATTGGATTCCTACATAGATGCAAAGCAAATTGATTATCATAGAATAACAAGGCTAACATAGGGCGTGGAATGTTCAAATCTTGCAACAAAAACAACGACCACATGATTTCACATATAACAAGCTGTTATAGCTTTATGTTTTGCTTTTGTTCTGCTGCGAGCCACCAAACTCTACTTCTTAGATTTTCAGCTAGCCAAAAAGTCACCCATAAATACACAAAATCCAAAAAATAATTTTTTGAATTCGGGACAACCAGACCTAGTCATTATCCGAGAAGGATCGTAATTACAATGAAGAGTTGATTGAAAATAATAGTCCTTGTCTTAGAGCACCTTTTAGATGGTCGAGAACTCGTGAGTAGCTTGTAAATGAATTAAAGATGGTTTTTCCATGAATTGAGCAAACACATGAACTCCATAATAAATGTTAGGCCTGCTAAAAGTTAAATACAAAAGCTTCCCATTAGCTACCTATAATCAATATAATCATTCATAATATCTTCTAAAATATGTGATAGCTTCGCTTAGGATGCATGAGAGTGGATACTTGGTTTGGAATCAAAGAATCTATATTCATCCAATAACTCAAAAACATACTTTAAATAGCAATGCCTTCGTTGTGACCTTACAACTTTAATACTTAAGAAATGATTAAATGAACCAAGATCATTAAGCTTGAATTTCTTTCCAAGAAACTATTTAAGATCAGCTATATCACCATCATAATTTCTAGCTATCATAATATCATCCACATAAACTAGCAAAGTAAGAAAATTATGTGAAAAAGTGTGCATTGTAAACGATGAATAATTTGCCTTAGATTGTTGAAAACCATATTAAACCAAAGCTGCAATGAACTTAGCATTTTATTGCTGATAAGCTTATTTCAAACCATATGAGGATATGTGTAACTTGTAAATGAGCTTTTATGAGTTATATAGTTTATATAAACTATCCTCATGCTCCCCTTAAGATTATAACCGAAGGCAAGTTCATAAATACCATCTCATCTAAATCACCATACAATAAAGCATTATCAATATCTAAATGAGAGAGGTACCAACCTTTAATGGTAGTCGAAGCAAGAAATAATTTGATTGTGGCTTGGTAACATCATTAAATGTCTCTTAAAAATCAAACCATTCAATTTAAGCTGTACCCTTTGGCTATAAACCTAGCCTTATATCTTTCAATAGAACCATCAACCTTGATTTTAACCTTGTAAACCCATTTACGACTTATTATAGGATGACCCACAAGTAAAAGAACCACGGACGGGGTATTATTTTCCTTAAGAGCTAGTAATTCAGCATTCATAGCTTCTTTCCAATGGTTAAATTTCACGACCTATGAGTAAGTGTTAGGTTCAAATGTATGTGTTAAGGAAATAATGAATACAATATGGGAAGGAGAAAGTTGTGAAGTAGATAAGTAAAGATAAAGAGGATAAGGAGTAGAATATAAGAGATTACTACAAAGAGAAGAAAAGGAATGAGAATAAGCTTCTAAATTTATAAGAAGCTTAATGGAGCGAGTAGATCATGTCGAGAGGTAACCGAGATGAAGTAATGATTGGAGGAGTAGACTTTTAATGAATAAGCATAGGAGAATCGGAGAAAGAAAAGGTAGAAATAGACTCGGTGTGAAATGATTCGAGTAGAAATATCATTGAGTGTACGAGAAACATGTGTAGGAAAGACAGATTACGAAGGTTGAATATCCGTAAAATTAAACAAGTTAGATATGGAAGAAAAAAGAGATAAGGAAGACAAATTATGAGGAAAAGAAGAGGAAGAGGAAATGAAAGGACAAAAAGAAAACATTGTCTCATGAAAAATAACATCTCTAGAGACTAAAACTTTATGGGTAAGTAAATCAAAAACTTTATAACCCTTAATGCTCGGAGGATAAAAAAAAACACATAAGGAGTGGCTCTATGATGAAATTTCTTATAATGGGAAATAAGGGTAGAAGCACAACACAAAGAGCAAAAAAATGTTCCAATGATCATAAAGAGGTGGTGTCTTGAACAATAGTTCATAAGGTATGAAATTGTCTAACAAAGGAGATAGAATTTTATTGATCAAGTATGTAGCGATAAGAATGGCATCCCCTTAGAATTTCAAAAGTAAAGATGCTTAGAAAAAAATGATCGAGCTATATTCAATAAATGTTGATGTTTCCTCTCAACAAAAACATTCTATTGAGGAGTGCCTACACAAGAAAATTGATGAATAATACCTTTAAAAGCATAGAATAGGGGAAGATAAAATTCAAGACCATTATCGGACCTAACTATTTTGATGAAAGAATGAAACCGTGTAAGGATCATTTGGTAAAATGAGGGTAAATGGATAAGACATCCGATTTATGTCTAAGCAAAAATACCCACGTGACTCGAGTGAAATCATCAACTATTATAAGAAAGTAATGAAAACCACTAAAAACAAATGAATATGGTCCTTAAATATCCATATAAGTCAACTCAAAAGGAGAACTTATATTTTTATTATGAATAAGAATGGGAATCTCTTTTGCTTTGCCAAAGGATACAAAAATAAAGAGAACTATTATTACACTAAATGATAGAATGATTCTAACTAATCAATTAAAGTCTATCATGGGAAACATAACCCAATCTACAATGCCATAGATCGGAGATTGAAGTATTAATAAATCTATTACCGATCGTGTGGGCAATACAAGTGTGTTTGATAGAAAAAAAGATAAGATTGAGAAGATTAAAACAAAAACAATCTTACTTGTAGATTAATAGTTTCAATTATTATCCTCAAAGAGTTATCCCGAATCACACAAGAATCACCACAAAATCTCATTTTGTAGAAATAATTAGTTATAAGTTTACTAACTAAGATAAGATTGAACTTAAAAGAAGGAACACAAAGCACATTAGTCAACATGAATGAAGATGATAAACGGACTTGACTAATATGAGTGATGATAGCCTTAGAATCATTTGGCATTTAGATCGTCATACCGAAATAGGGTTATAAGACTTTATATATTTAAGAAAACATGATATGAGATCGGTAACACATGTGTCAATGATCCAAGTACAAGGACTAAATGAAGAAATAAAGCCTTATGAATGATAACAAGTAGACATAGTAGAAATACTACTTATAAGATTGAAAACGA